CCCCCCCCTCTGATCAGTTCATTAATAGTAAATGTGAAAAAATTACTTTGCACTCTGCAGGGACTCCAGCCAATGCATAGGCGATTGTTGACCAGATGTAGGATATAGAAAGGATAAATGTTTGGCTGAGCTTTGCTAAGAGCATTTTATATTGGGCCTTTGCTTAAAATAGACCATGTGTAGGCTGTCATTGTTGAATTGTTTGGTTCTATTGATCCAGAGGTTTCAGGAGATCAATACACTGATCCAGATCAAGGATAAGGAAAATGGCTGCTCACCTGCATGCTGGTGCCTTGCTGAAATGCAATCCTATATAGATGGACCACACATGAATGGGAGACTCTTTTTTTGAGTCTCCCCTTCCCAGTCTTGTCCCCGATCCACTGAGATATTGCTAACTATAATGTCCCCAGCCAGGCATATGAATGCACTCTTCGCTCATTCATTTCTATAGAGAGAGTCCAGGGAACAAGTTCATACTCGGAAGCTCCATGAATGAATGGAAGTGCAAGCTGCATGCGTGGTAAGAGAAGGCAGCAATATGAGATTTTCTTGGGGTGAGTGGCTGTAATATAATTGCTCTAGAGGTTCAGTTACACTGTAAGCAGTCAACCTCTAAATTAAGAGTTCTAACAGTCCTTTGTCGTCACTTAGGCCAGAGATAGCCAGGCAATTGGCATTTCATCGTGAGGTCAACAGTGGCAGGCCTTGGGTATTTCTCTCTGTACAGCTTTCTATTAATGCTCCTGTTTCTGTGGAAGGTGGCAGGGGGTTAGCATACAATGTACTGAATGACTAAGCATGCAAGGAATGGGGTTCAGAAGAGGGAAAAGGCTTGAGGAAATGAATCGCAGATGTGCCTATGTACTCTATACCCTGCACACACAACGCAGCATTTAGTAGTGAACTGGCTGAGCTGTGTTACGTAGACCCAATCACCTGTTCTTTTCTCTTGTACAGAAGCCATTATGACTTTTCAGTTCACTGTACTAAAATATGATTGACAGGTGTCATCTTTGTTTTTAGGTTGAGACTGAACTGAAATCTATCTGTAATGACATTCTGGATGTACTGGACAAGCACCTCATTCCAGCTGCAAATAGTGGGGAGTCTAAGGTTTTTTACTATAAAATGTAAGTACCAACCTTGTGCCATGTCCATTTTACCAGCTTGGAAATGCTAGAATGTGTGGAAGGTTTGTTTTTTGTTTTAGTCTTAAAGTGAACCTGTATGAATAGGGTACTAATGATGGCAGGTGCTTGCTCTCACATTTACCACAGCTTCTCCTTCACAGAACATTATGTGGGCCAGAATATTACACTTGTGTGCATTCCCACCACACAGTTGTGCAAGTTGGTGCTGTGCCATTCATGGTTTGCCAGTGCATTGCATTACTATAATGAAAAAAGATGTTATATTTTGTGGGATTTTAGTTTTTTTGGTACACTGGGGTGCCTTGGCAGCCCATTCAAAAATGACATGCTGCACCTCATACCATGTAAATGGACCCTACATGTTGTGGCACTACTTGCATCAAGCACTGCAGTGTGGGAGGCAGTAATAAGTATACATTATTATTATTATATTATTATACAGGATTTATATAGCGCCAATAGTTTGCACAGCGCTTTACAATATAAGGAAGACATTACAGTCACAATACAATTTAAGACAAGATGGTAAGGAGGGCCCTGCCCGTGAGAGCTTACAATCTATACATGTGCATAGTTGAATGTATTGTGATTTGTGATGGGGCAGTGGAGAACTTGAAGGTCCTGTTGGGGATACCATGACCTGAGGCAATGCCAGCAGTACAAGGGGCACTGATGTTGGCAGACTGTTGGTATCTACAATGTGGATCTTCTGCAGGTTATGTGAACTTACATGCTCTATTCAGGTAATGTGACCAGATTTAGAGTGATGGAACCTGGCTTATTGCCTGAAGCATACCTAACTTTAACAGTGTTTACTGTAGATTCAAATGTATTTCTACAGAATCCTAACAATTTTTGGTTTTGGAGAGGTATTTTGTGTCTTGATTTTGCAGAGGTAATACAAATATTATACATGTGGTAGTCTTGACAAAGCTTGATTAAAAAAAAAAAAACCTTTTGAAATGCAAAGGCTGACTCACCTGGTGTTCTCCGGGTCTGGCAGGTCTCCTGGATATGCCCTCCTGATTCTTCTGGCTTGCTCCTTTCACTCGTGGTTGTGAGAAGAGAACCGAAGCTAATACAGTGCTAGCATCTTCAAAGACTTTTAATGAAAGACACCTTCTATTACTGCTGACTGCATTCACAATGTGTGCAGTAGCTATGAAGCCTGTCATTGACTAGGCTCATTAATGTGAGTAGTGATCGAAAGGCTTTCAGCTGAGAATTCCCAGAGCATGGTACCCTAAAACAAATGATACCTGTATTGATATAGACTCGTTTTTGGCTACGGTTTCCTGAATATACTTCTAGTAAGAAAGGAACATTTCATAGTTTTAAAGTACTTTGCATATATCTCTTAAACAAGTTACTGTGAACTTAGGCTTGGCAGATCATCATCCTCACATTACATTTATTTCTTGGCCATTGAGGGACACAGGAATCCATTCACGATCAGGTTATTCTGCTGCCTACAGTAGACCTGGGCACTGGCAACCCCTTCTGCAAGAATTATATGATTTTTAGAATGTTTTTAGTAGCACCATTTTTTGATGGATGTTCAGGCCTCTTCTGATGCTCTTTGAGCTGCGGGCAGTCCCAGTTGCCTTTTTAGTAGGCCTGATAGATCTTTCTACTATGTTGCTCACCCCTCAGTTGGACTGCTTTTGGACATCCCAAAGATTAATGACTTCACTGTGTCTCAATAAATAACAAAAATTAGAATTTTGTGCTTACCATAATATCCTTTTCTCTATTGAGGGACACTGGTCCCACACCTCTGTGTTTTGATTATATGTTGCTACAAAACTGAAACGTACTGGTAGTAGGAATGGTTATCCTGGGCTGGCTTCCAGTTTTTTGTTCATGTTCAAGTGTAGGTAGGTGTTAGTATAACCAGAGAGGTGAATGACTTCCAGGATGGACTAAGAAGACTCAATGATTTTATGGTGAGTTCAAAAATCCTATACAGGACACAATCAGATTCAGAGACAACAGGGTAATAGGCTGGTATCGGCTGACTGGTCACTGGCTGCGGGAGGAGGGCGCTGCTAGCGGCCGGCGGCTCTCCAACAGCGCTCAGCCTCCTGTCACAGTCCGGCAGAGCAGTGTGTGGGCGGAGACAGCTGAGCTCTCCTCCCGCACCGCTCGCTCAGCCTCCTGTGACAGCATTTAGGGAAGGAGAGCCAATGCAAATACTCAGCAATCAGTGATCGCTGAGTGTTTGTACATAATTGAGGACATGGTATGTTTACTATATCCTCAATTATGAATGGGAGTGTTCATCACCTCCTGTTCATTCATGATTGTGGTTATAGTAAACATACTCTGTCCTCATGCTATGAATGAACAGGAACACTCGGTATAGAGTATTCCTGTTCATTGATGACAGGGGACACAGAAAAAGAGATTGAGGACTCTGTGTCCTCAATCTCTTTTTCTATTTTTAAAGGGAAATATCAGGGGTCTGTTTAGACCCCTAATATTTCCCCAATGCCCCTAAAAGTAAAGTAAAAAAGAAAAATATTTAATAAATGAATAAATATTTAAAAAAATTAAAGTTTATAAAAAATGTAAAGAACATTTTTGGTTTCGGCCTGACAAATGTTTTTGTTTCGGTTTTGAAATTTCCATTTCGCTGCACCTCCTAGTTATATGAGGGAACTCTGTTATGGCCAGTGTCCAATCACATGATGATACTTGCATATTACCCTATGAATCTATTATCTATGAATCTACCTGTGTCCTACACGGCACATTAAGAAACAGATTGTACTGCAGGGGTGGACAAATGTAATATGGCATTCAGGAGCCAGCAGGATTTTTCATAGGAGCCAACTTCATTGATAGTAACGAGAGAACTGCAAAATGTTGGAGCCAGCTGTAATTTTTAAAGAATATTGGCGGCCTGGATCCTGGGATTTGTCCGGCCCTGTTCTACCGGTAATTCAAAAATCCTATTTTTCATTCCCAACCTCAAGTTCAGTTATATAAATATGAAGTTTAATTTTGGGTAAATGTCAGTTAAAGTACCGCAGCGCTGAATACTGAAAAATGGCCTGGATGGGAAGGGGGTTTAACACCGCGGATGTCAACTGGTTAAATTGACCATGTCTGCATGCAAAAGAAATTAAGATTAGAGTCCTAAAGTGTTCTACTAACCTGTGATGTCCTGTGCCTCCTACCTCCACTCTGTTCCAGCGTTCTGCCCCATCAGTGTCTCAGGTATTTCCAAGACTGTCAGATGCCTTTCTTCCTTTGACCATCTACATCACATTCCTGCAGTGCCATAGGGGGCCAAATAAGGGCACCGCTGTGCACAGCTGATGTCGCAGTAATCCCATACCAAAGAGACTGATGGAGGCTGCAATTCTGGAATAGAGGGCAAGTTGGAGAGATTTGCTGACAAAGAAATTAGTATAGGAGCTCAGAACACTCTTATCTTGATTCTTGATTTTTCTTTTGTAAGCTAACCCAAGGCTGCTTTAGAAACTAAGCTGTGCCCCAAAAGCAAAAAGGCAAAGGACTAGTCACTGGTATTGCCGATGGTCTCTCTGCAGCTTTCCCCTCATTATTAGCTTAACATGCCTTGTTCTGCACTGTTTATCCACATTTGGAGGTGGCCATCATGGAAGAAGCAGCACAGTATTGATATCATTAAGTCTTCCAAGACTAGCCGTTAGAGGCAGCAGTACACACACTCACACTGCAAATAATTATTTATCAGGCTGTAAGCATATGCTTGCCTAGGTACCCTCATATACCAGGAAGTGCTCCTGTTATTTTCTGGGTGGATCTCGAGATGCAAGTTAGATATTTCAGGATACTGCTTAGGCATAATTAATATTGTTACAGGTTTCCTATAAGATGGCAAATCTCCTTGTTGAGTTCAGGGCCAGTGTAAAGATTATCTTGAACTTAGAAATAAAGCACTGATGTATAGAAACAAAATATTTGTGTGACCATGTTAACTCTAGTCCCAAGTAGTCAGCACTCGGGTCTTCTCTATTGCAGTTCACGATGTAAGCAGTGGGTCCCGTATACAAATAGGCACTTATTCTAGTCAAAGCATCGTGGGACAGCTTGGAGAAGGGGAGTGTCAGGATACATGAAATTGGTCGGTCTGCGTTCACACTAGGTTTCCATTTTTTTTACACCATTGTAGTTTTAAAAGCAGAGTGACATAGGTGCTTCCTGCCTAATGGTGAAGCATTAAAGCCCAGTTGAAGTCTCATGTTATCAGTGACTGATTTTTGCTTGAAAATGCATTTAAAAATACCTTTTTTTCTTTAAGAAAAATGACCAGTTTACTTTCAGACTTTCGCTGTGCAGCTTAAGTTTTTTTTTTATTTTTACATGCAGTATATCTGGTATAAAAAAAAAGTATTTTTGGAGGTAATTATTATAAGTCTCAAGTTTTGCATACGTTATTTTCTGTTCTTAGGAAAGGAGACTACCACCGATATCTGGCAGAGTTTGCCATTGGCAATGACCGGAAGGAGGCAGCAGAGAATAGCTTGGTAGCTTATAAGGCTGCAAGTGATATTGCAATGACAGAACTTCCTCCAACACATCCCATTCGTTTAGGCCTCGCACTCAATTTCTCTGTGTTCTACTATGAAATTCTTAATTCCCCTGACCGCGCATGCAGGTAAGGATGACACTAAAGAGGAATATTTAATTGTATATTTTTTTTACTTCCTGCCCTGTAATGCTTCCTACTGTTTTGTGATGTGTGCATTTATATAGGTGTGCCCTAACAAACCTCCATACACTAGTACAGATATCTAGATAATTAAAGAAAATAAAAAATATATAAAAACCATGAACAGATCTTATGACAACCCCATACCATAACATTTTTTAAAGTAACCCCAGCCAGAAACAATAGTCCTTATTAGCATTTAAGTGCTAAGTCTTTTGACCAAAGCTTTGATTATTTAGAGCTTGTGTAGATAGACACATGAATGGTTCTATACTCACCCAGTAGCTGCCATAGTAGCCGTTGATAACTAAGCAAGTTACATTTTACCAGCATAACACACAAATGTGGAATTCTTCTGGGACGTTGCATATGTGCAGTATGTGTTTGTGCTGAGAGAGCGCTCGATCATGCACCCCCAGCATGGAGACTGAGCTTGTCCACTCCTATTCTTGAACTAACAATTGGTAGGTTTATGATCGCTGGTAGCTTTTCCCCCATTGTTGAGATTCCTGAATTGTATGTATATTGGTTCATCCTGAGAGAGATCACAGAAAAGTGTACTGACTCTGTATGATGATGAAAAGTAGTTGTCATTTGACATTACAGTAATGCAAAAGCAGTATGGACTTGTAAACTTCCCTAACAATGGTCTGTTTACTAAAGGTTGGCAAAAGCGGCATTCGATGATGCAATTGCAGAACTGGATACACTGAGCGAAGAAAGTTACAAGGACTCCACGCTTATCATGCAATTGTTACGTGATAATCTGACACTATGGACTTCAGATATGCAAGGTGATGGTAAGTGTCTTTCTGAAGGTACATCAAAATGTTTTCTGTCTATGTTGGAGAAGAAGCGAGCAGCAGTTGTGCCTTTTTCTTGATGGCTGTGCTGTTTGATCCAGGGAAATCGTATTTGTCTATCCAAAAGATGTCCATAGAGTCCATATTTTGTTGGGGATAATAGTGTTTTCAACCTCATAACTGCAGACCTACATGTTGAGAAGCTAGCACCCTCCTCGTAGATCTACACCTTTACTAAAATGGTTGCTTCTATGCTCACATTCACATACTCTCCCCTAATGTCAATTCCATCTGCTTCCCAGCTGGTGATCTTTGTCACATGACTGTCTTTCACACACCGCCTTATAACATTCTCTCTCGTCTTCTTTGAATGCCAGATCCACCCAAATGTCTCCCAGCTTTGAGTGCACTCATCTGCCAGCGTCTTGAGGAGGAGGGCTCCTAGTAGAAGTTTCTCGGCCTGTGACAAAGCTGGTCTCCTTAAAGGAGGAAACCTGAAATGAAAGACATATGACACTTTAGAACAGTGGTTGTCAACCTGTGTAACCTCAGGACCCACATTTGTCCTCGGTCATAAAGTCACGACCCAAGTTGCACTGCAGTGGAACACACGGTAGTGTGGGCTGCTGTGCTGCGAGGGAGCTTCATCCATATGTGCATTGCTTGTACAGCTCCCATGCACGCCTGCACAGGTGCCGGGAGCCAGAATGTGATGTCACTCCAGCCCAGGCACCACTATAGGACACCGTGAGGAAGCTATAAGCAATGCACGTATGTATGGATCTCCCTCATGGCCATACCCCTAGCCCAGCTCACCTCAAGTTGACACTCTGCACTGGGTAGCATATTTCTAATGGCTGCTTGGTGTAAGAATGGAAGGTGCTCCGCTAGGGGGTAGGCTGAAGAGCCTCTAACCTAGAAAAGTGGAAGGCATGCGGCGACCCACTACACATGGGGTCGCGACCCACTTCTGGGTCACGACCCACCAGTTGAGAACCAAGGCTTTAGAAAATACTTTAAAACTATTTAAAGATAAAAATACTTTAACAGAGAGGTCAAATCAAATGTTCTTTTTGGCTTTACTACTTTTTTGGGTGATACGAGTAGATTTACGAATATACTCCAGTAACCCAAAGTCGGCATGTAGCCGGCTATTGGCCACAATATGCTGATAGTGCAGAGCCACGCTGCAGCTGGGAAGGATCATGACAATATTGGCCTCTCTAGGACCAGAGCCAGCTATGCCCTCCCCTGTCTCTCTCTCTCCCTCCTCTCTCTCTCTCGTGCTAGAGGAACAGAGAAGGCAGGGTGGAATCCCTGCGGGAGCGGTGGCTGACACTGCTCTCCATAGGGAGAAGCCTTGAGCTGAGTAATCAGTGGTTTGTAAACGCACAGCTCTTGGTATGTACATCCGGTGTGACTGCTGCAGTGTACCACACCTGGCCTATGGATTGGGAAAAGTACATTTTACTCTCAATACTTGGTTATTGACTGTTAGGAAAAGTCAGAGGGAAGTCAGCAGGAGAGGCAGTGCCAGCCTACATATTATCTCAGTATCTTTATGGAGAACCTGGGCATTGACACCCCTGTTTTGGCTTTTTTGGATTATAATAAATCCAACCTGTGACTTCTTGGCACCAACCAAAAGCAAAGCAGCAAAATAAGTTTTATGGAAACTTCCCTCCACGAAGTTCAGTACAAGAGCTGAAAGGTAATTGAGTGGCCAAAGATTTTACAGTTAAACATATGAGCTCCCAAGCTTAGGTAGAATTGTACATGTATGTATGACTGCAGAGAGAATATTTCACCTGACTGGAACGGCTGTGGTCAGAAAAAAAACCTCTACATTCAGAAGCGGGTACCATCTTTCAACCATTGGTCTTCCAATGTATACCCACTCTTCTATTTGATATAATCGGTTATGTCGATTAGTTGTTGCAGCCCTAGTTCTTTTTATGTAGTAAAACCTGGAGTAGTGAACGTACATTGGCTGTGAGGCACCAAAAGGCCTCCTGTGCAATGAAGACTTTGATCACAGTAGTAGTATAGCTAGCACTAAAGGCATTCATCAATAACTGGGCTCCTGTCTTTTGGTTTTCTCATGCTTTTAACATCACCACATGATCTTGTTCTTCCCTTTTTTATGTAGATTCCTAAAGGAAAATCCACGTGCCCCTTTCCTAAATATTCTTTGTAAGTTGCTGTAATGGCTGCCACACAGAATGGCCTTGTTTTTGTGTCCTCTTAACCATTGCATCCGTCTGCTCTGTGTGATCCTTCCACTGGAGCTGTTTAGTTGTAGCATTTCATAATACGGATGTTCCCATGTCATTGTTTGGGCATGGAATCACTGCCACAGATTGTGCTTTTTCCTTGTTAACCAGCTATAGACAACAACGCATGCCTCTGCATAAAGGGTCAGTGTGCCTAATGACAGATAAAATTGTATTATATGACCCCTGGCGTTTGCAGTGTTAGTCATGTCTGGGTTTCTGCACTAGACTGAGTGTGTTTTCTTCTTTTTTCCCTCTAAAACTTTGGATTAACTATTCACTAACACTATAAATTGTGTATTCTATATGGTTAGTAATGCCCTTATGTATCATAGGCTCCATGATGAATGTTGGTTATCTTCCTGTTTCATTTGCAGACTTTAACACGGATTTGATGGACTAATGTGATCATGTAACAGATGCATGCTGTACAGAAAGATCTTGTGCAATTTTGATAGTGAAACTTTTCTTGAATTGGCCTTTTTACTTTTACACTGTGTACTTTTCAGATGATAGAATACAACATTCATAAAGTGCCAGAGTGTTCGGCCTCTGGAACGCAACCCGGCCGGCTCCCTGCGTTCTGGGGTGGTAGGCGGCCTGGAGGTGCATTGAAGTCAATGGCACCGCAGCCACATCCCTTTCCCACAGTGTGTTCGCTGGCACCCGAAAGCATGGCACATTAATGCCTGCATTCCGGTCCAGTGCAATCTGCAAAAATGTTGCATGCACTATTTTTTCAGATTGCACTGGGCCACAACGCAGGCATTAATGTGCCATGCTTTTGGGTGCCAGCGATTGCAATGGGAGTGTGGCTACGATGCCATTGACTTCAAAGCACCGTCAAGCCCCCTCCCGCCCTAAAACAAAGTCGGCCGGCCCATAACGCTCTGGAACACACTGTGTGGGTACCGGCCCTTATAGCGCACTCCGTTATCATCTGGAAGCAACAGTAAACAGTGGGATGCGCTGCAATCAGCAGATCAGCTTTGTCCCTGGAAACGCACATCAGCAGCTGAGCTGTGCGTTGCACTACAGCTGCTGGTGTGAATGCAGCCTAAATTGTATTCACCAGACCGCCTGACTGAGCCACATCCTCCATTTCTCTCACAGTCCTCCCTCCCAGACGCTGCAGCCTTAGATGGAGAAGGTTCCAGAAACCAAGGCAGTGCTGCCAATCCAGAAAGCAGTGGGCAGGGTGTAGATAGATGCCAATTAACAAGATACAGGCTTGTGAATCAGTATTGACAATGTTGGTAGTCCCGTCTCCTGCAACATGTTTCCATTGCACTGTCTTTCTGGAATCCACTCCTTCCTCGGGGGTAAAGTGCTGACTGTAGATCTAGGATAGCAATTGTCACATCCCTGGAAGTGTTCTATATCTAAACCACAATCACATGGAAAATCTGTGGATTGGCACAGGGGACTCCAGACCATCTCCCCACCACTAAGCCACCAGTCTGATGATTTGCTGGTCGTTCTGGTGTTTCTGGTCATGTCTTTCTCTGGTATATGTGGGTCAGCATAAAAAATGTTTTTTTCCTTTCTCTCAAATAATGTATTCTGCCATAAACACACTTTCTGAATTGTAAAGTTTCTTGGAGACTTTAGCAGCCCCATCAATCATGAACGGTAGGACAGGGTTGCCTCTTGGCTTGCAAACTGCTTCAGAATTTCATGCCAGTCAGGAAGTCGGTTTAGGTAGAACCAGTATTTGGATGCTCCTTACCTTCTGCAGGGATCATGCCATCTTGATTGGGCAAACTGGAATCCTTGGGCAACATCTTCAAGTGTATGTAAAACAAATACTTAAACGTGCAGCACATCCCTGTGTACATTTCCCATCTTTTACACTTAAGAATTGGGAGGGCTCCCTGACGAGATGAACAGACAGAACAAGGTTTCCAGTGGAATATTTAACAGACCAAAGGGAAGCTAATAAGACTAGTTCATTGCTGGGGTGTCCATATACTTCCACTTTTGCAGTCAATTTTGAGAAAACCTCTCTGTTCCCATGCACACAGCATACCGAAAAAAATGTTTTAAAGCACTATGGAGAGTGAAATACACCCATCACCATAGTTGAAACCAATGTGTGATACCGAAGCCGTCACATGTCTGCTGTATTGATCGAGAGCTGAGCGACCACAAACCAATGATTGCTCAGCTCATGGCTTCTCCCTTCAAAGAGCAGTGAGTCAGTCATCTCTCCTGCAGGGATTCAACCCCTGATCTATCAGTGCTCAGGGGAGGGGCGGGCACAGCTGGCTCTAGAGGCGGAGCCAGCTGACAATCAGGCAGTGGGGTGGATCCTGACAATATTGTATGGCTCTTTCCTGGCTGCAGCGCGGCTCTGCTCTGTCAGCATTGCCTGCTATATTAGTAAATGTCCTACGATGCCCCTGAAGAGATCTACGGACACAAAAGGTTTGGCTTTAGTTCTTTTAAACTCTTTTTTTATATGTTTTGTTGCAGCAGGCAACATGGCCGAATCCAGTTTTTTCTGAGCAGCTTCACAATGATCTGTTCTTATAGAAAGACTTGGGAATGACATTTGTGGATTGCTTCTCCCATTAACATACAATGCACAAGTCAGGGTTGTAATCCTTTAACCCTTTTGTTAGGACAGGCCAGTTTCAAATCTAAATCAGCCAGCACCATACAGACAGGTTATAAAAAGAAACCCTCTCAGCCCCTCCTAAGCAAGTAGAACTTTCAACCCTTAAGAAGCCAAGAAACCCTAACCCCAGTAAAAGCAACTTCTACTGCAAGAAGCTTTTTTTTTTTTTTTACATATGGGAACATGTAACAAATAAAAATCTGTGTTATCCCAATCTGGCTGCAACGGGGCGGGGGGTGTATGTCTTTTAAAATGTGGGTTTAGCACATTTATGTGTGTTTTTAAATACATCCTTTGTGTGCCTTGCATCATGCGTGTTGAATGCATGTATTTTGAAAGGTATACTTTGGGCCTTTCTGCTGTCGGCTTACTACCAGTCCGGTAACTAATGCAAGGACCTCATATGTTGGCTTTGTAGACCTTTGTGTCTTTCGGCATCCACTGTTCAGCATTATGAAGCACTGCAGGGGACACCATTTTCATATAAACTAGAGCTCAGCACTGTTTGCTATTGTGACTGGAATTGGAGTCTTTACTCCTAGGAACTCTTATCATATATGTAACACGGGTGATTACAGATTTACATCCCCTTTTATTGACCAGTATTAGACCCTTGGCTACATATGTCATTTCAGGCCTGGGATGATTGAAAATAGAATGACAGTGTGTGTGTGTGTGTGTGTACACAGCATGCCTTTCTTCATCCCAGTCTGTTCATAGAGACCAGCAGTCCAATGATCTTCTTCTCCCAGGAGATATGGATATAGGAGACTCGCTTCTCATTACATTGCACTCTTGTTTTATAATGGCTTGGACCAATTAGGAAGTGTCTGCATTTGTTCTCTAGTGCCATCCCAATTCTTTCAGATTGTCCTGATGTGATATTTCCTGATGCAAATGTTTCTTTTTGCAGGTGAAGATCAGAATAAAGAAACACTGCAGGATGTGGAAGATGAAAATCAGTGAGACATTAAAAGCCAAGAAGAGACCCTCTCTAACCAACTGCCCCTTCCCTCCAAATATCCCGTCTCACTCTGAGGACCATCAAAATTTGACTTTTACACTGGTTCTCAGGATTTAGGTTCCTGCCCAGTTGGTATCATTTTTACACAGTTTAAGAATTCTAAAAAGGCAAGAGTGAATGACTGTGGATTTTGCTGCTGCCAGCCATCTTAGGTTCTTTTAAGACACTAACAGGACTGCATAGAGGCTTTTTCAGCATTAGTTTGTCTCCGTGCCATCCAGCACTATAACCTCTTAGAAACACATAGAACAAGCAAAAGACGTTACTCCGTAGGGCAGACCAGAGTCAATCGCACTGTAGAATTTGTGTGGTGGCTTTCTTTTTTTATTTTCTAAATGTTTGAAACTGAACTTCATTCTGTTGTTTAAAATGTGGTTAGAGCTTGATGTCGCAGATTGCTTCAGAATGTCCTTGTAGTGGTTTTTGCTGTAAAAGTGTTTTCAAAACTGTGCAAAAATGTCGCTGAAAACTCTGGTGCTGGTATCACGTCAACAATCCGTGTTTATTCATTCTTGCCTCCTTTTTACTTTCCCTCCTCAGAGCAGGTTAGCATTGGAGCTGGTGTTGAATAGCCTGCATGCGTGTTAAATTTTTTTGTTTTTCTATCCCCCCCCCCCCCCCCCCTTCTGCCCTCCTTTTCTCTTGCTCAACCTCTTTTGTTCAGTATGTGTAACTTGAAGCTAATTTGTACTACTGGATATCTGACTGGAGCCACAGATACAGAATCTGTCATTGTTCTTACTGAAACACAGCATGGAATTAACATTAAACTTAAATAAACAAAACCTAAATTAAAAATGCCAAATATTACCGTTACTTGACCTCTTATTGTCTGTGTAAAGATATTGTATTAGTAGTCAAAGTAGCCTTAAGGACCAGCTTTTCATTTTTGTTTTTTTCCTCCATCCCTGTGACAAAAATGATTCATCCAAAACTGTCTTATAGTGTTAAAGGGATTCTCTGGTGAAGCTGAATATTGGGGTCGGCCCGTAGTAACTTGGCGGGGATTTCCTTTCCCTCGGAGCTCCCAGCTATTAGCTGCAGCGCCATCTGTTGGTGGCTCCTAGTTTGTGTTTGTCCATTGAGATGTAACGGCACTCCACGTAGCGCTGCCTTTGGAAGGGCCCGGGGGGGGTTGGGGGGCTTCTGTTCTATACTGTGCTGAGAACCATCTCTTTCATCTTCTTCCCTCCAGAGAACACCTTTAACAGGATGCATTTTTTTTCCCCCACAGAAAAGCCATTTTGTTGGCTAAACATTTTGTTGGTCCATCAGTTGGCCAGGTTTGGTGATTGTGAAAGGTGTCACCAGTTTCTTGTAAACGAATTGGCTGAATGAGGACTGTCATATTCACCTACCGTATAGCCACAGTCACCGTGTATGTGATGGGTCCACCGCTGCTGTGTGTTTTCCAATAACATCCGTGTGGTCGTGTTCGATTTTTGGCTTAACATAGCAGAAGACGGCAGATCTGCTCACTGCTTGCTACATGAGTATTTAAACGTTCATGAGAACTTGCCAAACCATGTCGTTTTATTGAAGTATTGATTGTTGGAGGGAGTACAATAGATCAGTAGAGTAACGGCTTAGCTTTTAGTCTCTCAATGGTGTATTTTTTTTTTTTCAAGATACAATATTGCCCAAGTGTAATTGGCTTCATAAAAATAAAGACATCCATAAAGTAACAATTTCACTTTTATTTTGTTTTGTCAGAAAGCCACTTTGGTCCTTTTGTGTTCTGCGTTCTGTAGAAGGGAAGCCTGTCATGGAGGCAGCCGGAGCGGAGCAGTCTGGGATGGACTCGTTGCTTGGCTGTTGTGCTTCTCCATCGTCATCAGAGGCCTATTCCAAGCATGGGGATTATGGGCTCCTGGCTTCACAGGTCTCTGCACTGTCGGGGAGAATGACTTGGCAACATAACAGCCAGGCAACTAGTATTATTTTAGGTCTGGCAGCGGCCAGGATTACTAATCTTACTAATACAAAGTCTATGCTTGGATACACAAGATGTCAGAATTGGTGCTGATCCCTAAAAGCTGTGCTGAGAAAGGCTTAGGGTTAGTTTACACCATATGCAGTTGTGATGCAGTCCGTTCAGTTTGACTGCTGCAGCCAAAATACATCACAATTCTTTCTTGTGCTCTATTCACACCCTTGCAGTCAGAAAAAATACTGCTCGTCCTATTTTAGCTGCATCTGATTGCACCGGAACGCATCCCAAAACAATTAATTGATTGTGTCATCCAGGGACTTCCTCTTTGTAGCTAAAACCAACACTATCAACATGCCTGCCAACAAACAAGCGGCTCCAAAACAAACGACAGGAAAAAGGAAGTGACCTAATTAGCATTTTAGTTTAAAAAAAAAAACCCGCATCAAAACAGATCGCAATGCAACTGTGCAGACGCACGGTGATGCAGTTTTTGGTGTAAACTAACCCTTAAACCAGTATTAAGGTCTTATTGCATTCTCTGCATTTGGGTACAAACGGCCCAGCACCTTTTTTTTTCTCCCTCAGTCCCCCCCCCAGACTTACCTGTCAGCGATTCTCGTCCCAGCCGCCGGTCCGAAGAGATCCTCCGTTCCCCGAACTTGCTGGTTGCAGGGGGAGGATACTGATGGCAAAAGAGCCATAGGCCCCTTCTGCCGCCAATCAAATTGTTGGTCAGAGAGGAGGGACGTGGCCTGCCACAGGACTATGTCTGTCTATGGACGCACACAGCCACTGTGGGCACAAGTGTTAGCCGATGGAGGCACCCGTGTAGGGGGCGGGGTGACGATGGCTGGGGGGACCCACCAGAAAATGAGCAATTACAAACTTTGAAAGAAAAACTACGACAGCCGCATCCTGGTGCCATCTCTTCCCCAGGTAAGTGGCACACACACCCAGCTATCCACATGATATATAAGAAAATGTGATTCATCAGACCAGGCCACCTTCTACCATTGCTCCATGGTTTAGTTCTGATGCTCATGTGCCCATTGTAGGTGCTTTTGGAGGTGGGCACGTGTCAGCATAGGCACCCCAACCAGTCTGTGGCTACGCAGCCCCATACACGACAAACTTTGTACTTTGAAGAGACTCACTTCACCCTAAGGCTATGTTCACACCATGTCCAGTGCATTTGCAATGTTCCGGGCCAGAGAAAATGAGACGGGCAGTATTTTTTTTGTCTGGACCAGAATAGACTGCGTTGGTGTGAACAGAGCCCAGAAATAGCACATTGGGATGTTTTTTTTTGGTACGGGAACAAACTTAACACCCCATGGGATAGTATCTATTATATAGGTTAGTCACCACATACGTTACAGTCTGTAATCTATCCATTAGATCTACCAACATGTATGAAGTGGATACCAATTGATAAGATAGTTTAGGTCAGTCCGGTCAGATTGTAACGTATGGTGCTCTGTCTCAGTACAAACTATGGTTAAGTGGCAGCAGAAGGGTAGTAGGTAGCATTTCAAACCTCTTCATTTTTAATCTGTCTGATAAGTCTGAACAATCTTTTTATAGGCTTGTTAATGTTACATCCTTCAAATTTCCAATCCATTCCGCAGAAGTCGGCAGCTTCCACCCACTGCTTCTCAGAATATAGTTCACTGGTATCCTCAGTGCTGCTGAAAAATATAAAGTGCAAGTTATTACAATGGAAGCGTATACATCAGTCTGTCACACCTAAAATGGATCTAAAGCCACTTTACCATTTTTTAGGATGTGGAAAGGTTAGGATTAGAGGTGCACCGAAATGCAATTTTGAGACCGAAAACTGAAATAAATAGTCAGGCCCAAACCGAAATGTCTTTTTTCTAACCTTTTTACATTTAAAAATTATTATTTTTTTACTTTGAATTTTTTTAAATATGTATTTTTATTAATTATTTAAATGGTTTACTTTTAGAGGCTTCAGGGAAATATTAGGGATCTAAACAGACCCCTGATATTTCCCTTTTACAATAGAAAGAGATTGAGGACACAGAGTCCGCAACCTCTTTTTCTGCAGCCCCAGCACTGAATGAACAGGAATCTTCTATACTGTACTGAGTGTTCCTGTTCATTCATACATTATGGACATAGTATGTGCTACTATGTACACAATCATGAATGAACAGGAAGTGAAGTAGATCATTTCCCAAAACTGGTACATGTAAGTCATACTATTCCAATTATTTACAAACATTCACGGACTATACCGCTCTCCATCCTGGATCGGCTGTCACGGGAGGCTGAGCCAGTGGTGTGGGGAGGAGAGCTCGGTCTCCTGTGACAGCCGATCCAGGATGGAGAGCGGTATACAGTCCGTGATCAGTTAATGTTTGTAAATTTATTATCAAACCCCAAAATGTAGTGAAAAATGCCCTTAAGTGCCCCAAAACACAATAAAATACCAATTTTTTAAAAATAATTGTGTGCGTCCGGGAAACTGCAACAAGATTCGGTACCCCAAAAGTCTATAGATGACACTTTAAAAGCCCCTACAGGTCATCAGTTCAGAGATACACATAAATATAGGCCCTAGAATTTTTGCTCTCACTCCGGCGTGCGCGGCGATACCCAACAGGCATACGTAGGCGCAACCGCCGCGGGGGGACTTGAAAAAAATGTTTGTATTTTTACATTTCATATTCATTTTAAAAACTTTTTTTCTTTAATTTAATTGCTATCACATGTCCCCCATGTAATAGCAGATGGTGGTGACAGGTACTCTTTAAGGTGATGCCGGGGGGTCCAAAAGACCTCCAGTGTCACCTTTACACTAGAAATAAGCTATTGAAGTGCAGATTGCTCATTAATAGCTTATAGCTGGGCTGCAGGAGCCCAGAACTGACAGCCCAGGGACCGGAAGTGATGCAATCTGCAGAGAGGGGAAGAGGGGACCATCTCCTCCCTAGCTTCCCCCCGACACCAGAGAAGCCGGGCCTGTAGGAGGGAGCCCAGGAAACACGGCGGTGGTGTCGGGCGGCCCGTTTACCGGCCCGGAGAAGCGATTGGTCGACAGCTGAGTCGCCTGATCGCTTCTATATTGGCAAAAGTATTGGGGCGCCTTTACACGCACATGAACTTTATTGGATGGATGGACGTATTGCACAGGTGGCACCCTATCACGGACCACGCTTAAATTCACTAAGCTCCTGAGAGCGACCCATTCTTTCACAAATGTTTGCAGAAGCGTCTGCATGCCGAGGTGCTTGATGTTATACACCTGCGGCCATGGAGGTGATTGGAACACCCGAATCCAATGATTTTTGGCAATATAGTGTACTATGCCTCACACTGCACTTACTATGCACTTGTAACGTTTCATGAGTGTTGTGTGGCCATTTTGGATTTCCAAAACAACAATGTAGCATTTTTCTAGACCAGAGGTGTAATATACTATAGGTTTGAAGCAGGGATAGGCAAACTTGGCACTCCAGCAGTGGGAAAACTACAAATCATATCATGACTCCTTCAGGAGTCATGCCTGCTACTGTCAGAGTGTTGCAATGCATCATGGAACTTGCACTTCCACCACATGTGGCATGCCAAGGTTGCCTAACTCTGGTTTGAAGATGCCTCTTTTCCCTTTGGATGCCTCCTGCACAAGCATGTTAGGTGAAGCAATGACTTCCCGGCTTAGCAATACTTACACGAACATTGAATAAAACATGCGTTCCGACAACGCACACAGAGCAAAGAATAGACTGGAGTCAAATGCTTCATTCTCTTCGCTTGCCAAAGCTATGAGTTCTTTCACTTGTTTTGGGTGAATCTCATGGCCGTAGAGATCATGCAAAGCTCCTTCTGTTTCCTAAACTCGAAAATTGTAATAGAGGACAACGATTAAAACATTGCTTTACCTATATATGTGCCATGCGTACAATACCCAGATTACAGTCCACACCTTTATGGCCCGTGTCTACCGCCTTTGGGCTGGTTTCCATGGCATTAGTATGACGTCAGTTTCAGATGCTTCTGAGATCATTCTGAATTTGCTGACGGGGGCATTTGACCT